ACCAAAAACTCATCCTATGGTTGCCGCATACACAGCCACCATTTCTCATTTCAACTCCAAAGTTGTCGTTGGTTGGTGCTTAGTTTTGGTGATTTGCAATTTTGTGAATTTAAGAGGTGAATGTCATGTTGTTGGTTGTATATTCCATGATATCCCCATGACATAGTTGATTCATTAACCAATCAAACAATTAATTAATTAACTAATTCATTAATATATATATATATAAATTAATTAATGAATTATACATTAATAAATTATTAACTAATTAGTTAATACTCCATTGTTTGTTGGTGAATTCCTCATTTCTTGCTTAACCCCACTGCGAGGTGTGGAAAACTACCTGCGGCTCCAGCAGCAAGAGGTTTGCCGCTTCTGGGATCCGCGGCTTGTTTTTTTTGGGGTCGGAAGCAATTGACCTCAAGTGGCAAATCCCATGCCATAAGCCATCACCAAAAACGGATCAAAACGGTGTTTATACGGGGGGTTCTGAATCATTGGGGGATGTTTATGTCACCATGGTTGTTTCAATAGTAGAATAATCATTTTGTTTGGATGATTTGCTGGTACACCCATTTTAGGACACCCCCCATATGTGTTTATGAAATTGCGTATACGGTATACCCCATTTTAGCCGGGATGATGCTGGTAACCTCAAGTCATTGTTGGTTACTACGATGGCTTGTTGGGTTTAACACACTTCTGGATTGTCTCAGTAATCTGTTGACCTCACTACTAGATGTATTGATGAGGCTGCAACTACCCATGTTCCTGTTTTTTTTCCTGCAGATTGGAATCGATTGGGATGAAACTGGGGCCCCTTCGTTTGTTTTTCATGATGGGGATGGATCTCAAAACCGATCAAATTTTCCATGTTTTTTTTTTTGGATGAAGATCCATGTATGAAACATATTAATTTATACCATTTTATACCACATCTGTGGCCCCAAACACCAACTATTCGAATGGTGTTTTTATTCATCAGAGGATTCCACGGATGTTCGCCAGGAGAAGGGTCAGAGAAAGATGGCAGATTATGTGAGTCAGGCGAGGCTGCCAAGGATGCTGGGTTTGGTGATCCTGCCAAATTCTTGGGGCTCCATCCTAAACTAGATTGCATATTTCTGAATATACATGTGCATGTGTATAGATATATATATATATATGTATATGTATGTATAATTGTAGTATAGAAATCGTATCTATATAATTACGTATATGTATATAATATGTAATTACATGATTATTAAATACACAATATGTTTATGTATGACATTGGTCAGTCAGGCTGTTGCCCAACATGTGATTAATTTTGCGCAAATGTTTTTTAGCCCAGCCCAATATATGTATGTCTTCTCGCGGATGTCCAATCTTCTCTCATGCGGAAGGCAAGAGCCCGTGGCAGCCTGACAATTGGAGCGGCCACGGTTGCAATGACGATGGGCTCGCAGGCTGGAAAAAAAAATGGGAAGAAAGGGGTTGGCCTCGCAAGAGAAGTCGGTCCAAAACACATAGGTGTGTCTGAAAGGGGGTATGTTACATGTTTATTATCTCCCGAAATTTAAACTTCGGAATCCATGATGAGTAATGAGCACAGCCCAGTCTAACTGTTAGTGCCTTTTTCCGGGTAAGCCGGGTAAGCCCGCCATGGCTTCAATTGGGGATCCCAGAGTATCAATCCATGGTATGGCTAGTTTCCTCGCCAGGATGTGCACCAAGCCATTGCAGAAGTGGACCCGGTCTTCGCAGTGAATGCCGTTTATGTCTATGAGCAGGTGCCGCCGATGGCATTCATGTCGTCATGTCTAGCCGCTAGCCAGGGCGGTGAGAAATTGGAAGTTCCAAGAAAGGGAGCTGAAACACATGCTGTAAAATTTGATCAATTCTTCAACATTTCTGTAGATGGTCGTTTGGCAGCCAAAACAGATTCTTGCTTAATTTGTAACAGGCTCTACACCACTCAAACGACTTTGAGATGACACCTGAATCATTGATTGCCATACTTATTCCTGTTACCCTGGCCCCTTATGTGTCGCCTAAGTCTCCACTTTTTCTTTTGCCACATCCCCCAACATTGATGGTTAAATATCCAGATCGGTTCAGAATCAATTGCGAAAGCTGTGAACGGCAGGCCTCACAAACCAGCTTGAACCTCAGTTTGTGAGTGTTTGCACGCCCACTTGCACGCCCACTTGCACACCCACTTGTTTTAGGGTTTGTATTTGCACCTCACCTACTCCCCAGAATGTACATACACACACATGCATCTCTCATGTTGCGTGCCTCGTAGCATTCGACAGTGCCCAGCAAGTTGGCTCAAAAAAGCAATCGCTTGACCATGTTGAGACACCTGTGTTTGAGTCACCGCCAACCCTTGGGTGTGTAGCAGCCTTTTCGACCTCGAAGGCCGCCTTTGACCAGATGGATGATCAAATCAATTCCAGTCGACATTCAAAGTCACTGCTGCAGAGTTTCTCTCACGGCTCTTGCAGGATTTGAAAACAGAATGGTGGCCGAAAGTGTCGCAGTTGGACAGGCTCATCGACTTGTACGAAGATGCTGCCCGCTTGGAATTGGTGGAAGAATTTGCACTGGAGAAGCGCAGATTGCGAGTGCAAGAAAGACTTGGTTCAGTGTGGTGAGATGCTCCAGCAGATAAGAACCAGCAGGCTCTTTCACAAATTCATGTTTTTTTTTTTTAAATGCAAAAACAGCAATGAAGAGTTTTACTTGCAGGACAGACAAAATGACGTTTCTTTGCGTCTCAAGGACATTCAGGAAATCAGATCACTGAAGACGCTTTTGCAGGAGTTAGTCAAGAGCTGAAGAATCAGAACATCTTGCAGAAAGCAATTCCCATCACAGGAATTGCAACATCTCAAAAGTGGAGAGGATCAAACTGCAGTGTGGCCGGCTGGTCAACCACAAAGGATCCCCAAAATGAGCCAGTGAAGCAAGTTCCCGAGTCAAAGTTTTTGTGGTTTCTCCCGTAGCGCCTGTCTTTCCACTGAAGTTTGGTGGAATGAAGCCGATAAGGCTCGCCGGAACAAGTCGAAATGATTCCGGCAGCAGACAGTAAGTCGAGCCTTTTGCCGATAAGGCTCGGCCAAGCTACATTCCAGCCCAGAAGCCCATCAACCATGGGATTTTGGATGATTTTGGGGTTTTCCGCGAACTTTCCACTTTCCAACCCCATGAAATCCATTGAAATCCCATGCATTTTCCGAAGTTTCCACCAGATTTCTAGGTCAATTCCTTCGGAAGCTGTCCAGCTTCTTGGATCGAGCCTTTGGAAGTGGCGCCCTGCCGAGTCCCCAGAAAGCCCAGATTTAGATCGACGGAGTTCGCAGATCGCTGAAGACATCATGGTGAAAAATACTGCTGCAGTGATCTGCAGTGGTCATTTTGATTTTAAATATACCTGGTTGGTGGTTTGGAACATGAATTTTATTTTCCATATATTGGGAATAATCATCCCAACTGACTTTCATATTTTTCAGAGGGGTTGAAACCACCAACCAGATACTGTATCCCTTTCCCATTTTCCCAGAAATATCATGGTAAGAGTGGTGACAAGCACCATCTTCGATACGTCGTTATGTCGCTATTTTAGACATTTCACTGGCGATCCTTTTAGCATCTCCGCATTTTCAATTTGTATATCTTCCCCATTCCAAGAGTATCATCAGCAGATCATCAGCAACTTGTCAATAGCCTTGATTTCCGAGTCTCCTACCTGGGCTTATTCCTCTTTGCGCTTTGTAGTTGAACTGCAATGTGGGATCCACAACAGCATTAACTATCATTATCTACCGCCAATGATCAACCAATTGAATGCTATAAATCATCCCTAGGAAAGGCCCCCAGTACTTCTTCAGCACTTGGGATGCAAAAGAAGCCTCCAAGCAGCTTCCCATTTGAAGGCCGGAACGGCGTCGACTGCTTGGCACCTGGGCCCCAATGATGCTGGACACGGTGGTGCAGTTAGTGTCGTGTCGTGGCCGCACGGTATAGGAGGTGATGGCAGTCTGGATGTATTGGGGGACAGATACATGTACCTCCTTGAAATCAAACATTTGATCATTTGAGTACGAGGCAAAATTGGGCACCCCCAATACTTAGATGATGAATACCAAAATAGACCTAGTCTGGGTCTTGAAGTGGACCCATTCCTATTTAATAATTTGGACCCCCAAAAATAAAACGGGTCTGGAAGGTAGTTTTCCGAGTTGAAACGGCAAAAAACTTGGGTTGAATGTTGGTTTCACCAAATGGATCCCCAAGAATTGACATGTTTTAGAGGATTTCATCATTTGGGTCATTCATGCAGAATTTTTCACGGCCGCTGGGATGGATTTTCAAAACTGGCCCTTGGGATTGCGCCACGGCATTGGGATTGGCTTTCAGAGGAGGTTTTGTACCGTACCGGTGGAGTGTCTGAAAAATAGGATATACCATGATATACCCCAAACATCCTCACCAAAAAAAAAATAAACGGGAATTTCGGCATGGACAATGATTATCCACTGTAGTGGATGTAGAGGTAACCCATATTCAGACTCAAATAGAAGCATTATAATGTTTTCTTGCCAACACCAGTTTTTGAGGTGTGCCCCGTTTCGGTCTACATCCAGGCTCAAAAAGCAGACCGCAATGGACAGACATCACAAGCCAAGTCCCCACAAAGCCCAGGGCATCTTGCCACAGAGAAGTAACTTAGTCAGAAAGCCCTACGAAAAGCCAGTGCCAGAGCGGTCCTGTGAGAAAACCGAATGACAATCCATTCCCAACAGTACCATAAAGGGGGTTATCGATCATCATCCCAATGGTAGTTGTTTATAGGCATCGGGTGATTCCCACATTCAAATGGATGCTTTTTCGGTGATCTCACACCCTTAACCAGACATGTCTTGAGTTCGCGGATCACCCCAATTAGACTCAATGCCTTCCGTTTCTTGTTTTCGCGTAGAAACCACCAGCTGCTTGCCACAACTGCTTGCGGATGGCTAATTCCTGGATGGTGACAGGCCGTGGTCTGGTTTGAAGACCAGCTTGGAGGAAAGCTGGGCATCTTTCAATGGATTGGTTTCAGGAAAAATCTACAAGCCATAGATTTTCGCATTTTTCCTATGGGGCTCTGTAAATTGTCCCTTAAACCAATCCATTGAATCTTAAGTTCCAGCTGACACAAACTTCCATGGATTGCCTCACCTCGTCAGAGCTAGACGACGGCCTGGTTGGCTTTTGACCCATGCTGTTTGATGTTCATGATTGCACCAGCTCAATTCGTGGATTGAATCAATCTTTTCCTTTCCTCGGTACAAAAAAACGCATGGTTTTGGCTTCACATCTTTGATCCTCAAGCCCAAGTTTGCTTGTTTGAGGTCCTAACAGTAACTAGTAGCCATTGGTCATGAAAGATACCCCAAAAAATTGAGTCGCCATACCCGAGAATCAGTTTTTTCTTGTCATCTTTTTTGCTGGTTAGTACCACCCTGTTGTTCCAATATCTGTTCATGGTATTCAGAAACTGCAGCTGACCAATTTCATTACCCTCTGGTAATTTAACGTAGCTATTGAAAATGACCATTTATAGTGAGTTTTCCCATTAAAAATGGTGATTTTCCATAGTTATGTTAGTTTACCAGAGGGTACATTGATTTGATTGAAGTTGAAAGTAACATCTAGAGGAAACCATGTTTTCTCGACCAGTACATATTTGGTTCCCTGCAACATTTGGCCCTTCCAAGCCTGGGATTTGATCTTTCCAGAGGAGCGAAACAGCTTCCATGGTTCCACTTCGCCAACTTCCGGCAGTGACTTGGAAGAGGGCCGGACTTCTGATGAATCATGGACTGCTCCAAAAATGTGGGTGAAAATTGGGTAAGGTTTTTTCAAGCCCCTGCCACAAACAATCCCCAAGAGACTACTATGAATGGCTGGAGGTTCCCAAGACCTTCAAGTTGGACCCTTTTGGTCACTGAACATATTACGGCCGTACCAACAAATTAGATTTGGGGCATACTCCCCAAAGAAATGGCTATTTCAATAGTTAAACTGATTCTTCACATGGATTTTAATAGGGTTTTCCTCCAACAGTTTCAGGTACCAAAGCTATTAGCCGAGGTTCTTCTGACAATGGTACAGAAATAATGGCTTTTGGGATAGTGAACATGATGATTAACAAGGTACCATATCCTAGGTATCGATATGGTACGCTACTAAGATGTTACATCCACATGTTAGCCATTAAATTGTTATCATTTTTTGAATGCCAAGCAGTTTCCATGCCATCAACTGAGGTTCTTCTGATAGGGCTTGTGATCATCTTGCTTTTCCTTCAACTCCTGTCCTTGTTCATCTTCAAGTGGCGAAATCGCTCCAAGCGCAGAGAGGGAATCGCTCCGAGTGGATTCCTGGCGGTGAATCGGATGGGAGAATGATCCGAAGGGATATCCCCCAAGTATCTTGCAAAGAGTTTCAATTCATCATCATTCACCAATTGCTAAGAGTTAACTTCATTTTATGATTATAGATATATCATAGATATATCTGTATGTATATATATTTCTGTTGAAGATGATCCTTACATTTCAAGATTATTTGATCTGTCTGGGTTTGGCTACATGCCCCTTTTCATCATGGTTTTATCTACTTGAGCAGTGTTCAACGCCCCTGTTGGTTGATTCTATATATATATACAATATATATATATAATATATATATACACAATATATATATATATATATAATATATATATTATGTCAAAGGGAACTCAGTAGTACCGCATGTGTAACATACATGTAATGCGTACCTGGGATGCCTTTATGGCTCAAGATCCCGCGAGCAAAAGGGAAGCTGCGTGCGCCGCTGTTTCATGGAACTACCAGCCTAACTGCCAGCATAATAGGGACTCCGAAAGAAGTAATCCAGAACAAGGATCGATTTGTTCACAGGTTATCAGCCGTAAGGGCTCAATTCTCCCGTCGGGAGAGGAGTACCTGCGTGCTGGTAGACGGGCTGTCTGAGCAAGTGATTGTGGACGCAAAGAACCAATCAGCTCATCATCGTCGCAAAGATGCAAGGCGGCAGCGGAGATTCACGCAACACGCAGTTTACCTTCAATGAGAACACTGCTATGCCGGTCGAGGAGGTCACTCAATCTTCCCCTGGCGACACGGCAGACAGTGGTGGGATACGCTCTACCCGAACTACACAGTCCGGATGGCAAGTCACATCAAACAGACGAAGAATATCCACTCAAAGTACACCAAGATCTTCTCGAAACAGTGCTCGAAGTGATGTTGTCCGTCAAGGGCATCGACCATCTCGAGGACGAACTACCCCAAGGGACAGATCCACCAGGGCCGTAACCGACCGAATTGGTGAGAGGACCGGGGACAGTCGTGTTAAGAGGAGATCAACGGATACTTCTGTGGCTAGTGAACCTATTGCCATGATAGAAGAACTACGGGCACAATGTCAATCCCTACGTAATCAGTTGAACCACATGGAAGCATATGCTGCATCAAGAGATCAACTGATTCATGACATCGAGATCAGATTCACTGAGTATCTTCAGGAACACAACCAGAATGTAGTTGATGAGGTCAATGCACTCAATCATAGATTGTCATGTTCCGCAAATGAGGTTGCAGAATATCAAGCAGAACGAATGGTAGCATCTCAGGAAGACGAGGGTGCAACAATACGCATCCAAGACCTTGAACGCCGAGGTGCCCTGATGGAACATGGTGCAAGACGAATCCATCAACGCGGTATGGAGATCCAGGAAGAGTACAAGGATGAAGTACACCATCTTCAAGGACTATTGGGTAATACGGAGGCAAGACTGCAACAACTTCATCAGACCAATGTCTTAACTACCGATATTGCCAATCGATTGTACACTGAAGGTCAAGAAATGCAGACGGATTTCCAGAACTCAATCGTGGAATATCGTAATCGATCCGACATGGCATCCTTCTCAAGCAATCAACTTGAAATGATTAGCCAACAACAATCAATTACAGTTCATGAATTGTCTGAACGGAATCAGCTATTGAGTGAAGCTCTCGTTCAATCTCGTAAACAGGCCGAGTTGTATGAAAGCAGTATTGAAGAGATCACTAGAGAATCTAGAAAGAAGGTTTTCGAGGCAAATCAGGCCAAGTTGGAAAGTGATCTGAAGCATCGAAATACTGAACATGATACTGTCAGAAGAATTGCATCATACAGGAACCATGAGGCCGAAGCAATATCACACCTGAGGCTTGAATCACAGGCTAGTGCAAATTCGATCGCAAGGGCAGAGCACTATGAAGAGCTCTATGCCAACGAGCAGGAGATGAACTGTGAGTTGAAGGATGAGATCAAAAAACAGAACGTGAAGTTGCGAAAATCATTGACTCAGGGCACTACGACCGACGGTCGTGGCCCCGATGAGATGCTTGTTGAAGACCTACGAAACCAAGCCAAAATAGCCCAAATCAGAGTTCAGGATCTAGACCATGAAGTTCATGAATGTTTACAGGAGAACTTGTTGTTAAAAGAAAGATTGACTGAAGTTGCGGATGTAGGGGCGTCGTCCTTCTCCAATGCTGAAGTCCGAACTTTAAGATCTGAACTAGAAAGTGAGCGCAAAATGAAATTGGCTAGTGGTGTTCAACAATATGAGAGATCATGCATGTTCATGGGGGAAATTCAGGATAGGGATGAAAAGATTGGTATCAAGAATTCTGAGATTATTGACATGAAAAGTCACTTAGATGAACTGAGAAAGAGTCTAAAGGATTCTGAAACATCTATGTCTAGGGTCAGCCCTGATACACTTCCCTATTCGGCAGGCATCCCCAACTATGATCTCGCATCAAGACTGGTCATTGACAAACTGGAGAATGACGTGAGTGAGGCTAACTCTGAGAACGCTATCCTGAAATCTTGGGTATCGCAGATCGACAAGGAGTTGACCTATGAGACAAATATGGCTCATTCCTATCGTGGACATGCTGGACCTTCTCAACAGCAACCTTCTCAATCGAACAAAAGAATCACCGATCTGCTGAAAGAGGTTGACAACAAGATCGCCGATGGAACTGAGAAGGACTATTACAAGCCTCCGAGCGGATGGGGCGGTCCGCCTGACCCTGATGGACCTCCTGACCCTTTCGGGCCCAACGGTCCAGGACCACCTCCAGAACCCCCTGGTTTGCCTTCAGTTCGAGGATCACAACGTGATTCAGCAGATGACGTCTCCACAGCGGCTTACACGGCAGAAGAGGTACCGAGAATGTCAAGACGGGAGGCTGACAAAGTCTATGTTAGCCCATGGCCGAAGCAACAGAATCTTGGGGTTTGGCAATCAGATCTTATCAAGAGTGTTGTTCTGGCTGCGAATGATGGAGACAAGGCTGCGTGGGAAGCATGGCTACAGCCGGCTATAAGGCCAAATCCTGACATTGAGCTGCTGAATGACAGTGGCGGGCAACGATACCAGTCAATCGACGCCAAGTTGTCAATTGCATTGTCAAACGTTATAGCCCAAGCCGGTGATGTCGCTCGTCATGTAGCAATTAAACTGAGATTGAGAACACAGAGTCATAGTCGAAGAGGAACCTATGTTATGGGACGAGAAATATTGGCTATGATCCTGGAACACTTCAGAACCCCAGGTCAACGAGAGACGGCCTTCACTATGGAGCACATCGTATCGATGAAGTATCTCGGTGATTCCAACTTGGAAGTGTTCTATGAGAAATGGATGGAGATGGTATCAAACATGATGCCGGATGACGTACCTCCTGACGATTGGCTTCGTGACGCTCTATACAAGAAGATTCGAAATTCGAGTCTTATGATGTTTGACATCAAGCAGTACGAGTCATGGATTGAAGGAGATCAGAGGCGAAGCTATCGCTACCTGTTGGACGTCATCGAAAGGCACATCTCTAGAATTAGAGAAGACAAGCATGTGGCCGCTAGGGAGAAGTACGCAAGAGACTTTGCAGGGGGTGGTAAGCCTACTGCTCCAGCCCCAAATCCAACTGCTGCTGCACCAGACGCCAATCCGAAAGCGAAGCCTAAAGCCACTCCCAAGGAGAAGGCAGCACCTAAGGCGAAGGCCAAGGCCGATGCAGCTCCAGTTCTACCATCACCTCAACCGAAACAGCATGCAAAAGGAAAAGGAAAAGGTCAAGGGAAAGGAAAGGATCGACCAAACAGCCGAAGCGCTAGTCCAAGGTCCAAGAAGAAGATCCCATGCCACTTCCATTTCATCAAGAAAGCATGCAGAAAAGGCAAAGATTGTGAATACAGTCACGACCAGAAGGTGTTTGATGCGAACAAGAACGCGAAAGGTAATGGTCGAAAGCCAGGAACTCCAAGAAGTCAATCTCCAGCGAACAAGACCAAGAAGGTTGATGAGCCATGCTGGCACTGGGCTAAGGGTAAGTGCCGATATGGAGATAAATGCAACAAACGTCATGATCCTCATCTATTCAACACCGCTCCAAACACCGAAGCATCAAGCTCAAAGGCTACTCCTGCACTTGTCCATGATTTGAGTGATGATGAAGGGACATTCCATAAGGTCGCATCGAATGTCATCAAGAAGAAGGTCAGATTCGATGAATCCAAGACTTGCACCCAAACATATGTGAAGAAGGACTTCGTGAAGTGCAGCCGGAAATCCCAGACCATCCCCAAAGGTCATGGTAAAGTTGGTAAGCCTACTGATCAGGTAAGGCAGGATGAGCAATGGTCTTATTCATGCAGACTAGCATCGAGCCGAGGGAAGGCAATGGCTATCCTGATCGATGAGAAGGGTGAGTACAGTGACATTGATGAAGTCTTGGTCATCGTCGGCTCCAGCCTGGACATCCTGATCAGACTCGACATCGAGGACGGTGAGGTATCCAGGGAAGTCTTTGTGGAGAACTATGTTCAGCATATCGAGGGTCGATATGGTAAAAGGGGCAACACAATGTGTATCACTGTTCCCGTTGAAGAGAGAGATAAGAGATTCATATTGGATTCTGGAAGTGGTCATGATCTCATCTCATCTACACGAATAAGTAGAATGGATCTCCCAACATATGATGATAAAGTCGTCAACTTCCATACAGCAAACGGGGTAACATGTTCGACCAAACGTTCAAGTATCAAGTTCGAGGCATTCAACGAACCAGCAGAAGCTCACATCCTGGAAGACACGCCTTCTGTGATCTCCATGGGCAAGCGGTGCGTTGACCTTGGCTACTCATTCGTATGGCCGACTGGAAGGACTCCTTTCATGTTAGATCCCAATGGCAACATCATCGAAATGACTGTCAAAGACTATATTCCTTATGTGAGTGTCGATCAAGAGAAGAGAAAGCTAAAATCATCCTGTGTGGAAAAGATTATGACAGTTC